GGAAGTGCCTGTTTTAAAGCCAACCCCTGTGAGTTCCACTGGGTGTCCCCCAGCTCCCACATGGTGGGTGCTGGCAAACAACAGCTCTGTTTTCAGCTGACTTCCTGATTTTGTAAATCTTAATTATCCCTCCAGCAACCTTCTCCCCTCCACACTAAAGAGCCCCAGGCATTTCAGACTCCCCAAATGGCAGCTGCTCTATCTCCCTGATCATCACTCCTGCTCTTCTTCACACCATGACATCCTCCTTGAGGCAACACGGGCATGCAGACACCCCTGCTGCACCACAAATACCCACACACAGAACAGGCGGCTCCATGCAAGGGGAGGATGAACCACTGGGTTGTCTCCCGACCCCAAGCTCTTACAGCCTGATGGAGCTGGTCGGCACTGGCCCTGCCAACAAGCTGTGTGCCCAGGCACATGGAGTCACGGGTAAGAGGGAAGCCCCAGCACTGCTCAACAGGAAAGCATGCTCACCAGCTGCAGTCCACAGCCCCAAATGTTCGCCACCATGTAATGGGATGCTCCTGACATCCCTGTCTCTCCTTACAACACAGTGCTCTCATACACTGAGGGGACAAAAGACACTCAAAGCATCACCACATTCCCTCGCGTGTCAAAACCCTGTCTTCAGGAGCAGCCCAAGCAAAGACAAAGCACAAGAAGGCAAAAGAACTGTCAGCCAGTGTGTCTGCTCAGATTGGTTGCTCCCTCGTAGCAATTCAAGGGGTTTAATTTTAGAAGGGCTGCATTTCTGTACAACACTAAACACAGCTGAGTGCTCGCCTATGGCTGTGGCACTTGGGCATTACGGTAATTCAGCGTTTGGAGTGAGACAACACGGTGCACACTGAGCAGCTTTCTCCACCACTGTCACAGCCATCTCCTCTGCCTGCTCTCTCTTCAGGGAGGTTATGAGACTGAGAGGACTGACTGCACACAGCTGTGTGTCTACTGCCCAGGTACTCTGTTCCCAACTTGATGTTTCTAATCAGTAGTATCTGCTGGACCATAATACATGACCAAAAGTAGCTGACAGACCATTTTCCATCACATTACAAGCTATGCATCACTTGATTCCTTACATTTACATGAACAGTGGACAACAGATTCACACGGACATTTGTTAACAGCCACACTTTTGAGTACATCCCAAACGAATTTTAAATGAAATATTGAGATGAATACTGCAAATTGGGGCTTTTCTCAGAAAACCAAGTTTACGCCAAAATTCTTCTTTAGTAAGAGCTCTCCATTTAAATGGATATATTTCTTCAGTACCCATAAATGAACATATTCTCCTTTTGGATAGTATTACGCTTTAAATTAGTGGTGCATAAATACCGTTACCTTTTTTGGTGAAAAACTCCTTGGAATATTTCCCCAACATAGCGTATTTTCGAGGGATTTTTCCCAGCAGTTCAATGATCAATGCTATGTGGTCTGCATTGGAGAACATTGCCAGCAAAACAGAAACATACAACAGTTTAATCAGTACATTGCATGCACACACTTACACTGGCCCGGTACAGACAGAAATAGATTGATCCTGGTAAAAAAGACACGTGCATCTACTCAGGGGCTAATTTGGAAAGATGCTTTCAGCAAAACTTCCTTCTCAAAACAACATTTGAGGATCAGCTGCTACAACCAAGTTTTGCTGCGTGAATTCAAATGGACCAATGGTTATTTTTCAGTGTTTAGCTAAAAAAAAAAATAAATAAAAGAACAATTTTGTCAGGTTCCTTCGTATTTTGTTTTCCAAACGCAATTTTTATTGTGTGATTTCAGGAAATGCTCCTCACTGGGACATGCTACAACCAGCAACAGCAATTCCACTTCTGTCTGCATCACGGCACCTTTCAAAAAGAAGAGGTACTACCTCTGCGATTGAAGAATTCCCGAGAATATTTTCCAGATAGAGCAAAGTGCCTTGGGATATTGCCTAGCAGCTCTATGATGTGTGCTATGTGGTCTATGAGGGAGAGAAAAAAAGGATACGGGAGTGGAAGGGGCAGGGAAAGGATGGGATAAAAAAGAAGAGGAAAGAAACTGGAATTAGTAAAAAATCAGAAATAGTTTCAAATCAACAGTGTTTGCAGCAAATCCATGCAGAGGTTTCCAGGATCAGCAGAGCTCTGGCATCATTAGTAGCATTTAGGAACAATGAATGATGCCCACATTACCACTGCAAAGAGCATTTACAAGCAAACAAGCATGGAAATGGACAGGTACACAGATGGAAGCAGGAGTTAATTCTGGTTCAAAATAAAAAATTAGTAATTGCCTAATTCAAATAAAAATACACAATGTAAACATTATTCCAGTGTCACTCTTACAAAGAGAAAATACTGTCAAGTTCAGATCTGTCATTTCTTTTCTAAACTAAAATGTTGTTATTCTCAATCAGGTTTCCACACATATGCAATCTTACAAGAAGGGCAGTTTAATTCCTTCAGGCAGTTGTTAAGTAGATGAGTATCTGCAGAAGGGAGTTTTTGCCCACCCATTGCTAGTGATGAAACTTAAAACTAAAAAGAAAAAAATCATACTTATATTCTGAAAACAATGTGTATGAACAGTTCACTCAAATCATAGAAACACAGAATGGTTTGGGTTGGAAAGGACCTTAAGATCATCTAGTTCCAACCCCCCTGCCATGGGCAAGGACACCTCACACTAGACCATGTTGCCCAAGGCTCTGTCCAACCTGGCCTTGAACAATACAAAACTTAACCCCACTGTAAGCTCACTGGAAATTTAAGAGGAGTGTGAATATATATACACCCATATAGTATCTCAAGAGATTCATACCTTCATCCCTGGAATAGTCTTCACCAGAGTGTGGTTCAAACAAATAATCTCCAGTCGCTAGCTCAAAAGCCTATAACATAACAGACATATTTATGGGGATTTGAAATAGTTTTTAATCTTAAGATGTCAGCAGAACATCCCAACTATGTCAGAACCAAGAGGAATTAACATTCAAAGCTTAAGGTTTACATCTGGATGAGACACTGAGAAGAGGCTACTTACCTGGGGACCATCATTCCTGTGGGGCAACAATAGCATGAACCCAGGCTCTGGAGAAAGCCCCGTGTTCAGCCCCAAGCACATCCCACTGGGACACGAGGCTGGAGGTTTGGAAACAGGCAGCATGCCCAAACCCCCAACAATTCTGCCTACTCAACCGGGATGAACGATGGAGATGGACCAGGAGTGTGGACCTGTGGTCCCTCCCCAGGCCCCTGGGCTCCACTGCTAACCAGGGAGTATTCCAGGCA